ATAGCGCACCACCTCGACGCCGTTCCACGTATAGCGGTCGTAGGAACCGTCCGTTGCGGCGATGATGGTGTTATCGACGTCATGGGCCGACAGGGCCGTCACCAGGTCGCGCACATAGACCTCGGAGCCGCCGGTCGAGTCGGGGAAATAGAAGCCGACGCAGTGCACGACACGCAGCCGTCGTCCCCTCGTCCCCGTCATCGCGCTTCCGGGCAGCGTCATTGCGGCAGGGACCTCAGGCTCAGCAACCGCTCCGTCCTCTCGAATCCCAGCAGCTTGTAGGCCAGCGCCAGGGTGGGACGCACCGGCGGCACGAACGCCGGGTCGAGCCTGTAGATCCAGTCTACGATTTCCGCCGCCTCCCGTGGGTAGGCCCGGGCGAACGAGCGCACGTTGGGCCACAGGGTACGGAAGGCCGCCTGCTTGCGGCGCGACGTCAGTTCCCCGCGTTGCTCCAGCAGCCCCAGCACCTTGCGATAGATCGAAATGTGCATCCAGTAGCGCAGGTCGCGCTTGAAGCCCGCCGTGTGCTGCAACCGCTCGCCGGCATGACGACGATGCGTGAAGGCGGGTTCGCGGTAGATGGCCAGCTTCGGCCGGCGCATCGCGACTTCGAGAATGAAAAGCCGGTCGTCGCGCAGCGCGAAGTCCTGCCGGTGCGGAATCCCTCGGATCAGGTCGCGGCGGAACAGGAAGGCAGAATAGTGCGACGACCAGCCCTCGCCGAGTTGCTGGGCGATGAAATCGTCGCAATCGTCCCAGGCGTTGACACGCCGTTCGCCACTCTCGTCGTCATAGTCCTCGTAACCCGCGACGACGAGGTCGGCCCCCGTCTCCCGCGCAAGCGCGAGCTGGTCGGTGTTGGCGTCCTCGCAGAGCCAGTCGTCGGAATCGAGGAAGCGCACATACTCCCCCTTCGCGGCGGCGAGTGCGGTCTCGACCGCCCAGTCCTTGCCCCAGTTGTCCGTCCGGATCGCGACGATGTCCCGCTGGGTTTGCAGCCAGTCCCAGGTGCCGTCGGTGCTGCCGTCGTCGACGACCACGATCTCGACGTCTGCGCCCGCCGACCGGCACGACTCCACGGCCTGCGGGAGGGCCCACAGCCGGTTGAAGGTCGGAATTACGACGGAGATGTCGCTCACGCCCTCACCTTAGCCGACTCCCGGTGGCAAGGGCATCGGCGGCTTCGAGCACTCCGTCCGCCGCACGCGCCGGCGAATAGATCTCCATTCGCTCGGCCAAG